TCCCAAACCTCTAAACATGATAGACACTCCTCTCAAGGTCTCTTGAAAAAAGGGACCAGCGGAACCTTTATCGCTGCAAATCTCAGTCGGAAAGGGTGTCAAGATCGGTCCCACACCGGTAATACTATTGATTTCGAGACAAGAAATTCCCAGACCCGAAATACTGCATCCCAATTGTTGTTGGCTGATAGGGATGCTACTGAGGTTCAGAACTTTGTAAGAGCTGGATTGCAAGCTATTCGAACAGATAGTAACAGCTCTGGTAAGAGACAATCATCTTCTCCTCACGACGGTTCACAAGCTACGCCGGCGATACCCAGAACGGAAACTCCCTGTGTGGCGTCGCGGGGAGCTCCAACGGACAAAGGTCCAGACAAGTTGTTAGGCTTGGTGACCCTTACGCCAGGTGCAGTACGAACGCCCACATGGGCAGAAATTTTGATGTGCGGTGCAGACAAAATTGGAGACATAGCGGGCTCCTCCTCTGGAATACTCGATCCACCATCAAAAGCTACAGATAAGCAGATTATTGTCAAGGTCACTAAAGCCACGGAAGTTGAATCTTCAAAGGACTCTGAAAAATTCCAATTTTTTGGAGAGGAAGGTTTTGATTCCATAAAAATTGAATCTAAAATCTTCAGATTTGCAGCCAGGGACAATGAATTTGAAATTTTTGAGATGCAAAAATCGTCGCTGAGAAGGATTAATTTCAAAGCTGATCACGCTCCACATATCTGCCGTTTTATTCACCAAATTAAAAGTGCAAATAATTTTAATCAGAGGCGGAGCAGAAAATTTGGGGCTATCACAGTCTCTTCTGAGCTCAACAATTCAGGCTCTTCTTTGAAGATTGCTAAAGAAAACGGAACCTCCATTTCCGTACCCAAAGGCCCACACAATTCCTATCTCGAAGATTTTTTGACAATTTTCTCCAATTTTGTTAAATTTTCATATTTAGAACAGGAGGAAGTCTTGCATTGGGATCATGGATCTTCGGGCTACTACTCTGAGGAAATCAGCATTTCCAAACTCATTTTTAACTATGAAGTTCAGAGAGCATTTGGCGAAAAGCAACAACGCCCCTCATTTGAGCACCAACCACAAACCCCATTCCTACAGGCGTACTCCGATGCTTCGGACAGCTTTGACCACTCTGACGACTCTTTGTTTACAGACGATTTTCTAGGACATGCAACAGAAAGTGATCGCCGCCCCCCTTTATCATGACAAGAAGAAATTAAGAATTCCAAATTCAATAGATCGATTTGTCGTAAATCAAAGTTGGTAACCTCAGAAAACTGTCTGCCAACGGAAAATCTGAACACACAACTCAAGATCTATAGGAAATCTCAGAAGAATAAAAGACGTCATAGCATGAGGACTAGATCACAGTCCAGAGATTTCCCTTGGGTTTAGTTTTTATCTGTTATGTTTTTTTCTTTTCCTTTCTTTTGTGTTTGCTTTTCTTTTACTTATCTTCTTGCACTGTAATTTTTACTTTATTTATTGAATAAAATCGTTTTTCTTAAAAAAAAAAAATTAAAAAAAAAAAATTAAAAAAAAAAACATTTTTAGAGACTAAAAATATATAAATGTCTACATTTATCTATTAATTATTTTATTATTTATATTTTTTATACATAAACCATAATATCTAATGATTATATGAGCTATTTCTATTTTCAAAATAATATAAAATTATTGGTAATATATTTAAATTGCAATGAAAATAAAAAAAACAAAGAAATAAAGGAAAAATACCTAGGCGCCCGCCTAGGCGGGCTAGGCGCTAGGCGGTCAGTCACCGCCCGACTAGCGCCTAGCGCCTTTTAGAACACTAGCGATAACAATAGTAGATTGCATTTATATTTTTTACATGATTTGTTTGAATAAATTTGTGAATACTACAACATTTGTACCATCGACTCATTTAGTTTTTTTTTTTAATATTTTATGTGATACTCCGTATTATAAATGCTAATCAACTATAATCTTATTTTTTGTGAGAAGTGAATCTTTTTCTAGTGATCGAAAAGATGTTAGAAGTTTTAATTCATAATATTTTATTATTTGTTTTTCTATCGTTTATTTCCTTTTACATTTTATTTAAATAACCAATAAAAGAATATGAGATGGACTATTACTTTCATTTTCTGATTCTAAAATATATTATAATAAACATAAGAAATCGAATCAAATCGAACTAAATTAAACCTAAGACTTTTCAATTTGGAAAACCGAATATCAAACTGAACTGAAATCGAACCGAAATCAAGCCGAAATATTAATGGTTTTAGTTTGATACAAATTCTCTCAATCCGAATAAACCGAAACCGAAGAAAACCGAACCATAAACCGATCTGCCCAAACCTAGTTAGTATCATAAGACAGAAATGTACGCGGCAAAATAACCATTTAACGTACCAACCCTGCTATAGGTACCCCGATTGGTACCCCAATTTGTACCCCAACCTATTTTTGTGACTCACAAAAGCCCACCTCAATAAATGAATTGCCCCACTTTAATGAGGTGCTTTTGTGAGCCACAAAAATAGGATGTGGTACAAATTGGGGGTACCAATTGGGGTACCTTTAGCATTTTTCTTAACGTACATGCTTAATAATATGTCCAGAGTATAGACTCTAGGCACGCACAATAATAATGATTTCCAATAATTATCTTTTAAATTAAGTACGAAGTATAATTGAACCAGTGCAGCTTTGTGTCGTCATACCTGACGTTGGGTTCATCTAGAATCAAACCACATGCTTCGTATGTGGCATGTATTCATGTACGTATATTATTAAAATATTTTTGGAGAAAATAGTTCAAACTAAAACTAAAACATAGTCTTTTTCTTTTTTGTGGAAGAATTCGGCTTATATTGATAACAGATAATTCAGAGTACGGGTCAAACGACAAAAAGAAAGTTGATAACCGTTATCACGCGAACCAGACTCGGAATTAATCACATCTAAAGAAGCAATATAATTCGTTGATCCATAAATGGGAACCCTAAAACCAAAAACGGTCACCATATTCCTCTCATCCCCCATATCCAAAACCAATGTCTTACAATCAAGAATACCAAAACAAAAACAAATAGCAAAACTGAAATAAACATTACTGAAATGACAAACAAAGCAAAAAATAAAAGACTTCCTTTGCGCGCATCCAGCAAACGAAGACCATCCCTCGCACCTGCGGCCTCCATGCATCCATCAGCAACTTCGGCGGGCTTAAGACCAAAGCCCGCCTCCTCCCCGTTTTTTGCCCCATCTAAAGCCATGTTGTCCTCTTGCATCTTCCTTTGACTCCTTCCCTCCTTCTTGGGTAATACTCTGAGCTGATTCAGTCGTTGCATCTTTCTCTTTTCCACCTGTCTTCTCTTCCGATTTATAAAAACCTGTATATCCCCCCGTTCCGCCAGAGCTCGATGAACCCTCAAGGAGCCATTTATTACCTCATGTTGGGCTAGTCTTCACCCCACTTCCAGCTCTAAGTTGGATTCCATACCTTTTTTCCAAAAACTAAGCCTTCTTCATAATTAAGAGGACAAAAATTATCTGAATGTCCAATGAGACCACCGATAAAACAAAAGTTGGGCAGTCTTTCATATTTGAAATCTACCCAAAAACTTTTGCCATCTTTTTTCAGGGTTGTCCCCCTTTTTAGCGATTTATCCACCCTCATAAGAACCCTAACCCGCATATATGGCTCTAATTTATCACTCTTCTGGTTATTATCATATTTAATAAACTCCCCTATAAAATTCCCCACACGTCTGGCAGTTCCCAGGTTAACAAGACTATAGGAACATTGTGAATCTGAATCCAAAACTCAGTCTCAGATCATTTAAAATTATTTTATGTGGGATATCATCAGGCATGACTTCTTTTAGCATCAAAAGACAACGCTCAAATTGTCATGGCCCTCCCTCAAGCACACGCATCATATCAAAACGATGTGAAAAAGTAAACAGATACCTTTTCCCCCCGATTTCCTTAACCGCCATCCCCTTTCCCGGTCTCCACAAAGACAACATTATCTCTTTGAGATCCGAAAATTTTGCCTTCCTGCCGATTAAAACCTGCTCGCTCACCGGGAAACCTTTAGGCCCTTACTCCACCGGAGCATCCTCAACCCCGATATCATCAAGATCAAGCTCCTCCACATCTTATAGCTATCAACACAACTTCCATGCGCATGCCTGCTCCGTCGCTTTGCTGCGTCTCTGGAATTGATCGATGCGCACTACCACTCCGCTCACCCGACGCCAGAATAAATACGCCAACCACCTCCCTTATCCACCAATAACCCAACTTGTCACCGCCTTAAACCACCTATCCGTCCAAACCAATTGCCGCTACAATCCAACCAATCCACACGCCCTTCGGAATTAGCGAAGGCGGACACTACTAGGAGTTGCGTGAGGCAACCCTAGAGAGAAAACCGATCAAAGATACTAGTCTTTTTAAAAAACCAAAAACTTTTTTTGATTTTTTTCTCAAACGCTAGTCTTTTTCTAAAAATCGGATCATGGGTTGAGTTATCCCTAATAAGATTAATAATTCCACTTTATCTTTAATTTAATTTAATCAATTAATTAATCTAATTAATTGTCCCCAATTTCAGATTTTCTAGCAGCTCACAAGAAAATTTCTAGATAAATACATGCGACGGTCTGATAGCGGTCGACAGTCTGATGACCTGGAGGCAGCAATGCTCCAACCCTTTGAGGGTATTTTAGTCAAACTACACACAAAAAGTCCTCTTACAAATATTTTAAACTAGTTGATTCTTATATTTTAGAAAGAAACTACTCTATGTTTTAGTCTTAAACCAAAGCTGATAAAACAAAACACTAGAGTCCAATTCAAAATACTACAGTACTTTGTAATTAAGTAATAATCCATGCATGCATCATGCCTGATGTCACGAATTCCACGTACTATAAAACCAACAAACGCCGGATTCATTTTCCGTACAAATAAAATGCAAACAACGATGGAGTCATCATCATCCAATAATATTATGGTTTACAGCATTCTGGCGAGTATTATTCCGGCGGCCGGTTTCCTGGTATGGAGATTGTTGGATTGGGTGTGGTTTAAGCCCAAGAGGCTGGAGAGGTGCCTTACGAAGCAAGGGCTGAAGGGTAACCCCTACAGGGTCCTCCATGGGGACATGAAAGAAAGCTACAGAATAATAAGTAACGCTGCCAACTCTGAGCCCATGAGTCCCTCCGACGATAACACCGCCGCCAGAGTCCTTCCAGATTTCATTCAAACCATCAACAAATACGGTACGTCCGTACGTATGATGAAACCACGAGTCTTAACATATATAATTCCTTTTTGGTGGAACTGTTTGATGAAACATTTTAAGTATGTTAGATTCTTTACGAAGTACGAAGTATATATTATGTCCATAAAATTTCAATTTAAAATTCATTCAGTAAGTCAGTTAAATTAATTATTGAAAAACACTGCGCTTTTATATACCCGTAGTATATAGTTTGGCACAGTTTTTCAATAATTTATTTAACTGAAATTTTGTAAACGCAATCTACAATTGATGAAAAACATACTCAAAATATTTCATCAAACCGACTAATTAACTATCCAATAGAGAGTTGTGTGAGGTCTAGCTTGTAGAGACATATACAAATCGGGGAACATCACTCTATTCAAAATCAGTCGATAGCAAATAAATCATAGTAGTGGTGTATATGATTCGATTCGTTTTGTTTGTTTTAATGGACTGAATTAGTGATGTAGTCAAAATGCATACTTTTTTTTTATACTCCCTCCGTCCCAGAATTAACTTCGGTTTTGACTGGGCACGGAGATTAAGAAAGTGGGAAATGTGTGGTGGAGAGTTGTGTAGAGGAGAGAGAAATGTGTAAGAATGGTTGTGAACCACAAATCCTTTGCTAAAAAGGGAAAGATGAGATAAATTTGGGACGGACCAAAAAGGAAAGAATGAAGATAATTATGGGACGGAGGGAGTAGGACATTTTATCCAAGTAAAGGGAAGCAGCTTTTGTTAGCTTAGCCAATCAAAAGAATGACAAATTTACTACTCATCACTCAGTTTTATTATTATATAAAACAATAGATTTTAGAAATTCTAAATTAACATATACTTCCAGGTTCCTGGCTAGTTTTGAACTTTGCTATTATTCTTACTCCTATTTGAGTCATTTTAATTTTTTTTTTAATTCCATCATGCATAGAACTCTTCTAGTCATTGTTGAGAACAAATAATTGATTGAATTATATGCATTCATGCAAGCAGGTAAAAATTGCTATTTGTGGATGGGTCCAACTCCTATGGTGCTCATCATGCACCCTGACTTGATTAAAGAGGTATTAAATAAAAATTATATCTATCATAGGCCTAACATCAGCCCAGTACTAAGGAATCTGGTCAGTGGAATATTCCTCTGCGAGAACGATAAGTGGAAAATGCATAGAAGGTTACTCAATCCCGCTTTCTTTTCCGAGAAGCTAAAGGTTAGTGAGATGAATGTATGTGTGTTAAATCTAACAATGTAGCTCTAAGCTTTCACAATTCACTTGGTATATTTTAAACATCTTTCGCTATCACTACATCAAACAGCTAATGGAACCAGCATTCATGATAAGTTGTTATGAAATGGTGAGCAAATGGGAAGGGAGAGCCTCGCGAGAAGACTATTGTGAGGTGGACGTGTGGCCGGACCTTCAAACCATGGCAAGCGATGTCATATCTCGAGCCGCATTCGGGAGCAGCTACGAAGATGGAAGGAAGATATTTGAGCTCCAAACAGAACAAGCAATGCACGTCACGGACACTTTGCGCCAAGTTTATGTACCCGGATGGAGGTGATATGAGAATAAATATAAAACTCTCTACGTTATGGATATCATGATATGGTAAAATAAGATTGTGTGTCTAGCTCTTCATTTGGTGAACTTGTGAATTTATTTCATGTAGATTTGTGCCAACAAAGAGGAATAGGAGAATGCATGACATTAAGAATGAAGTGAAAGCATATGTTCGTACCATTATAGAGAAAAGGCTGAAGGCCATGTCGGTAGGAGAGGCAAAAAATGACGATCTACTAGGCATATTACTTCAATCTAACTTGCAAGAGATCAAGAAACATGGGAACAAAAAGGTTGGGATGAGCATTGAAGAAGTCATTGAGGAGTGTAAGGTTTTCTATTTTGCAGGGCAAGAAACTGTCGCTGTGTTACTCCTCTGGACTATGATTTTACTTAGCAAATTTCATTATTGGCAAGCTCAAGCTAGAGAAGAGGTGCTGCAAGTTTTTGGTCGGGATAAGAAGCCGCATTTTGAAGGATTAAATGATCTCAAAATTGTAAGTAGTTATTACTTATTAATTACTAGCTAATACACCATATTTCAAGTTTTATTGTAGTGTTGACAGTAGCTAGTGCTCTTTGTTTCAGGTGACCATGGTTTTATACGAGTCTTTGAGACTATACCCGCCAGTACCTAACTTGACTAGACAAACGGTTGAGGAGATAAAACTTGGACATATGACTTTGCCTCCAGGGGTGATGTTGTCATTACCCATACTTTTGGTACATCTTGATACAGAGGTATGGGGTGCAGAAGCTACGAAGTTCAAACCAGATAGGTTCAGCGATGGTATAATGAAGGCAACAAATGGAAAACACGCTTTCTTCCCATTTGGTGGAGGGCCTCGTGTATGCATTGGCCAAAACTTTGCTTTGTTAGAAGTTAAAATGGCAATGGCAATGATTCTACAACGCTTTTCCTTTGAATTGTCTCCTTCTTATGCTCATGCTCCATTTACTAGCGTGACCACTCAGCCAAAGTATGGTGCTCCCCTTATTATACATAAGCTTTAATGGAGCTACAATCTCGTTTGTTGGGGTTGATTGCTTAAGACGTATTTACACATGTTTAGGTTTGTATACTATGACTAATAAGTATGTTCGATGAGAGACTCGTCTTTTCTGTATCTTTGCTGTTCATCACCCACTGTGTTCATAAATAAAAGCTTTACTTCCTTGTGCCAAATTGATATGCAAAGTCTATTTCTTGATCAAAATAATTTATTACATTTCTTTATTTAGGATATCATTTTTATTATATATAAATATGGATTTTGCGACTTTATAAACTTCCAATGCAATATTCCAATATATAAATTTTAATAATTAAACTGATTTAAGTGTATAGTATCTCCATAGATGATTTAACTCTATCCTCAAATCTTAAGTCTCAAATTACAAACTAATTTGATTGAGATGAAGTGTGTGTGCTACAAAAAAATGTTACATTTGATGACACACATTTTTATTATCACATATTAAAGTGTCAAAATATAGCTTGTATATAATGACACTTTTGTGTGACAAGGAAATATTGGATTTTTTTATTGAGTTCATATAATATTATCAATGAAAGGAGTGTCTAGTTTCTGGAAATAACTTTAATTCTATGGCGTAAGTTCTAACTTTTCTTGCATTGTAAACTTTACTTCATTGAAGTTTTTCAAATATTTTTAAGTGAGATGCAAGTTTCTCTATGAAAGAAGTGTTTACTATCCCACATTTTTATTACTAATATAAGCATGTTATAGAGTAATCAATTAAAATAACCTCATAATGGCTTCAAATAAATTAACACGGATTTTCTTGACAGTTATGTGTCATCTTTATTTTTTCATGACACACAAAACAAATTTGTTTGGTGATTCATCAATTCAATGACACATTATGTGATAGCGAAAGTGCAAAACTAACATACGTCTATGAGTGTCAAAAAGAAATTCCTAGCATTATTCCTAGGGACACTTTGAACGTGTCCCTACACAAAACACGGGATTGACATGGATTTTTGGCAGAGATTTCCCAAAATTGGTAGGGGTTTTGAGTTTTTTTTTCCAGAATTAACGCGAATTAATTAAGTATTTACCGAATAATGTTGGGTTAAAAGTATTTACCAATAAACTGTTGGACTTAACCTGGGTTGGGGAAAGTCGCCAAACGGTTTGGCGACTTCCCCCTGCACCTGCAAAACCAGTAAACCCACAAACAACCAGATACACACCATTACAAAACATATAAAACACCTGCTAACAAAACACCAGATACATACCAGATACAAATAACATACAAAACAGAAGATTCATAATCAGTAAAACACAGTACAAACATCCAATATTCATAACACAGTACAAACATCGAATATTCATAGCCAAACACATCAACACATCATAAACAAAAGAATATATAAGTACTAATAACACAATATCCAATAGTTTGCAGCAAAAATACGTAAAAAAGTAAAGTGTTTCTACAACTTTCGTTGTACACGAATAAGTCCAATAATAGAGTGTAACACCCCGGCCCCGCAGGACCCAAGGTAGTTACTTCAGACCTCTAGTATTGTCCTCACAAACCGCCACTAGTCTTTTACGTAGGGATGGCAACGGGGCGGTTCGGGGACGGGTATACCATTACCCGTACCCGCCCCGTTTGATAAAAAAATTCCCCGAAACCGCCCCGTTACCCGTCGGGTATTTTTTACCCGCGGGTAACGGTTTTCTCCGCGGGTAACGGTTTCCTCGCGGGTAACGGTTTCCCCGTGGGTAACCGTTTTATTAAAAAATAATTTTTTCCCTTCAAAATTAGTATAAATCCTAAAATGATGATTATTTACTTATCATTAACCACCTAAATTAAAAAAAACAAAATTAAATAGTACCACAGATAGATTTAAACAGAGTTAAAAAACAAAATTAAATAGTACCACAAAATTAAATAGTACCACAAAATCATAATTTAAAATTTAAAGCTTGATATAATTTATAGCAACCAATCAAAATTAATTTAATCATCCATACACCTCTACAAAATTATTAGCAATTACATAAATTAAAGCAAGGTAGAGTAATCTAAAATATTTGGACTTTGAACTCATACATGAGTTTTATGAAAGTTATTGGGTGAAAACTTAAGAGAGTCACAATGTGAAAATTGCGTAGAGAAAATCACGAAAATCAAATAATCAATGTGTGAAGAAAATAAATCTTGTAGAAGTTAACAAAGGAAGGATGATGAATGATATTGAAAATTCAAAATCTAAAATCGTGAACTTTAAGCATCAACTCCTCATAATTCAAAGGATAGCCAATAAGTTGAATATTGTTTCAAAGTATTAGAGGGAATAAGTGTCATATACTAATGTACTACTAAATATACTTAATATATTAAATAATAAATACACAAACCATTAAAATATACTCCGGGTATAAGTTAATTGTGCGGGTCGGGCAATGGTGCGGGTAACCGTATCCAAATTAAACGGGGCGGGTAACGGGGCGGGTAACAGGACGGGTAACGGGGCGGGTAGGTATAAACCCATAACCGCCCCATTACCCGTTTACATAAATCGGGTATTCCCCGCCCCGTACCCGTTACCCAGTCAAAGCAGTTTTCCCCATTTTGACCGGTTCGGTTCGGTGCGGGTATCTGTCGGGTTGGGCTAAATTGCCATCCCTACTTTTACGCGCACTTTGTCCTCACTCGTGCGCGCCCTGAAAAACTTCCTAGGGGGTCACCCATCCCAAGACTACTCCCGTGCAAGCACACTTAACTTTGAAGTTCTTAGCTGATGAGCTCCCTTAAAAGGCCGGAGGTGCACCTTGTAGGTATGATTAATACTATTAATCCATTTAAATTAAATCTCAAGTTTTACATAGAGATAGACTACAAGTTTCATGGTCTTCTTGATCGTCTTGGTGATGGAGATGTGGTTGTTGACGCATACGTCTACATCGCGCACTGTCGTGATTGAAGAACAACTCTGTCACGCTGAGTCTGAGATGTAGAAGTTGCTGCTGATGTAGATGTTGATGCCATAGAATCCTGAGAGGGGGTCATATGTATAAGATGGTCATAGTCCACTCGCCCCATCACATCCGAACACAAGGAAGCAATGCCCGTCAGAACCTAGTCGTACGTGTCCACGTCATGTGTATCACTCACTGTGACAGTCGCTCGCTCATGTATTCACTGCAAAGCCCGTGTCTGAGATGTGAAACATGAATTATAATTATTTTTGAAATAACTAAAAAAATGTTGAATCAAAAACATGAATTACTTTAGTAATTATGAGCACACTCACTGTCAAGTGCAAAGCCATGGAACTAGGTTGATAAGGGTGAGTAGGGAGTCTGAAAGAAGGAGAGACAAACTTCCGCGTGATGTTGTACGAAAAGTGAATTAATGTTCATTTAGCGGAAACCGTGTTTTTTAGTTAAATTACAAAAATGTCACCGGTTATGAAGTGCTCATAGTACAGCACGATATATGGGTTGTGGGAATGTTTGTACGGAATATGGGGAACAAGACGCCCCCTTGGACTTTCAAATTTTTCTACTATATACGGAGTATGTTATATTTTCATAAATCTTTCATACTTTAATTAGTACGAGTATATATGTATTCACATCCCTTAACTTTTCATTTTCAAAATTAATATTGATAGTATATAGCTTTGCATTATGTAATATTTGTTTGGAAATGTAAAAGAAAAAACATCTAAAATACATAGAATAACTCATTATTTAAGACTTATGATACTTACTATATAAAAATTCTTAGTTTTATAATGTTTAATTATCATTATTAGATAATTAGTACTCGATTTTATAAAATATTAAATGATACTCCATATTAAATACCAGACACATTTTTAGATCATGTATTCATGTGAAGTGAATATAATATAAAATATAAATGTTTGTTGACGCACATTTCATTTATTTCTTATTTTCTAAAAATAACTTATTGTAGTAAAGCTTAACTTATTTTAGAATCAATACAAATATAATATGCACCACATATATGAATTAGCATATATATTAATAAAATTATTCATGACTCACAACAGACAAAAATTGCAATTCAAAATGCAATTTTTTATTTCAATACTCCGTAAAATTTATGTGGTTAAACAATGTAAATGTTATTTTAAAAGATTGGTGGATGTCACAATAATGAAAATTTTCACCTTCCTTAATTAGAAATTTTGAATCCGACCCATAAGAGAGAGAATATTATGTTGAAAAATTCTAGAGGTACCACATTTTTGGGTACCCCATTTGTACCCCTATTTATGTGGTTCACAAAAACAATTCATAAAAATTGGGCAATTAAATTATGAAATGAGCTTTTGTAAAACAGACAAATGGTGATATAGAAATGAGATATCCAAAATGGGTACACCTAGAATGACTCTATTACTCCGTATTATTCCGTATATTATTAGCATCCTAAATTCCCAAGGCACAAAGGTACGCCGAAAAATAATCATCTAACGTACATGCTTAATAATACGGAATATGTCTAGAGTATAGACTATAGGCACGCACAATAATGATTTCCATTAATTACTAGTATCTTTTAAATTAAGTACGGAGATTTCCATTAATTACTAGTATCTTTTAAATTAAGTACGGAGATTTCCATTAATTACTAGTATCTTTTAAATTAAGTACGGAGTATAATGCTTCGTATGTGGCATGTATCGATGTACGTATATTAGAATACTAGTTTTCAAGCCCGTGCGATGCATGGGTAGCACAAAATTTCGATAATTATAAAATTGATTTTTTCAGAATCATATATGTACTATAATTTTGAGCTCATTTGGTAACCACATTTTTTGGATTATCAGGTTTATTAGTCAACTTTTTTTATCAAACACGTAAATTTTAATTTCGCGCGTTGAATTGTGTAATAATAAAAAAGAATGTATGGTTAGGGTTACTTTTATGAATGTATTGACTGAAGTTACCGTAGGAGATCATTTTATTTATGTATTATATATAATTTTCTTTATTTAATTAATAAATATATTTTAAATATATTTTTTACATAAATCAGCAAAATCAGCCAATACAGCCACTTCAGTCAAAACTTCATAAGTTTCAGCAGAATTAGCCGATTTTGATGTTACCAAACGGGTTCTTAATGCGAATCAAAAGCAAAATAAACTTGATCCGATATA